CCCCCCCCAAAATCTTCGGACACAGTCCAGGGAATGAGGGTGCTATCCCCCGCCTACCCCTTTGGGTATCTCACCAGCCCCGGATTTTTGAATGGGCCGAGAGGGGGCTCTTTTGCCCTTTTTGGGCCCAATTTGGGTTCCCCAGCCCCTTTGGTTTTCACTTCCTGTTAGATTTCCCGGCTACGGGTGGGCCCCCTTTGCCGTTTGACACTTCCAATGAACCCCCGTAGGGCAGGGGCCCGAGGAATGAGGGGCAGCACTCTTTTGTAAATTAGCTGTCAGGGACTTGGAAAAAATTCTTCCAGTCCTTTTCATGTATCCGCCCCCCCCCTCTGAAGTTGCTGCGGGGGGCCGCTTTTGGGGGCCCCCATTGCCCCTGCCCCACCAGCCACTGTTTTGTGGGGGCCCCCTAATGTTTTTTTTCGTCATCTGGCCATTTGGGCGGTGAGGTACCCCCCCCTTCCTGTTGAAGACCGGCCAACGGTGCAATAAAGATAAATTTTCCTTCCCTACCCGGGGGGCCAATGGGCCGGGTCACCCAAAATGGAAGAGACCGGGCCGGGGTTACCCGGGGGTCAAAAAAGAATAGAAAAGAATACCCTCTGCAGCCCCATAAGATGCCCTCCCCACGAGCCCCCTTTTAGGCGGGGGGGAGATGGCCCCGGGCCCGGGGCCCAGTTCTCCCCACGAGCCCCCTGAGGGCGGGGGAATGTGGCCCAGGCGGGGGGCACTTGGTCCCAAAGATGAGGGTGGTTTCTTGTCCTTCCTCCCTTTGGGGGACTTAAATCTCGAGAAAACTCCCCGTAGGGAGCCCAAAGGCCCGGGGAACTACTTGGAAAAGGGCCCGGGGGGGGGAAGAGAATACCGGTGAATTTTAAAAAAAAAAAAAAAAAAAATTTATTTATATAAAATATATATATATTATTTTTTATATTTTATTTAAAAACTTCATGTTTCAGATATTAATTGGTTTCATATACAAAAAAAAGATCAAGGGGCCAAAAAATCAGTAAATCCCCTTATTAAAACACAAAACAATCCAAAGGGAAAAATCTGCCATTTTACTATTTACATGTTTTTATTAAAAATATCACAAAATTTTAAAAAGGAATAAAATTATAATATACAAAAAGGGCCCCAAAATGGCATTAATAAAACCTTTCCCAAAATTTTCAACCCCAAACCCCAATTTAAAGCTCCAAGCTTAAAGACAATCACCCCTTTAATACCACTCGCAACAAATACACCAGACCTACAATATGCCTTATTAAGAAACCTGTGCTGCCAACAGGGGGACCCATATCCTCCCCCCCCCACTCACACACACACATTGAAAACTAACCCTATCACCAACCTGAAATAATCATGACATTAATTATCCTAAATTTTAGGATTATTATGACACATGTCACTTGAGGAAGCATTATTTACAACCATAAAGGGGTACAGGACTACCAAAATTACAATACTTAAATAAGAACAATAATAATAGGTAATTACTCCAAAACTGATGCTGGCTCACGTTAATAAAACAAAAATAACTCAGTGCTTCAAGGGGAAATAGTGAAAGGAAAAACCCTCTCAAGAAAATTCAAAAATTTAATTGCAATACCATTGTAAGTGGAACATAAATACGCTACCAAAGAAATATACATTTTTTTAAAATTGTTTTAGGTTATACATTAAACATGTTATATATTTAATCTGCTCCTTACACCTTCCCCATCAAGGGAACTAAGCAAAAAATTATCTTGCACAACCTCTCATCTGGTCACACACTAGTACCCCCAATCACACCCAACCACATCACTGCATTCCCAAGGAGGTGAGCCCGTTGAAATCCCCTGAACCCCCCCCCCTTTTACCAACCCACTCACCCCGGCAGTTAAAGCCCCTTATAACGCCATAAAATCCCTATTGTTAGTCCTCTATAACCTTCAGAAAAATACTCTTCCCACCTTTTCCCAAAAATGTCTCTGTTGCGAACAAAGTTCGATAAAACGTCGCCGCCCAATGTCCTTCTCAGCACATCCCCACCCACCTTCCCCCTCATACCCCATAAAACTATATGTAGTCCACGATGACATATGCTAAACCTCTTACCACACTCTCCTCCACACCACTCATATCAAAACTTTAACGCTCGCAATACCGCCCCACCTTGGCCCCCACCCCCAACCCCCTACTTACGCATCCATACCCTGATGCACTCCAAACCTTTACAAAAATAGACGACATGATACGCAGTCTCTTCCCACGCATTTTGCCACACCCCCCACCTCAATAACCCTCCTGTCTCGGAGCATCGCTCCCGTTGGCAAAATCCATGCAGGAAAAAGGTACATAACCTCACGCGCCCTAGGTTTGTTCCTTAATTTACTAAACCTTCGCCATATTACATCCCCTGCATACATGGGGTAGATCCCTTCAACCGGCGCCCTTACATGTTTTCTAACAATTTACAAATTTTCCCCCCTTTACTTTTCCTGGTTCCTGGCTAAAATTAAGGCGCTAACACTGTCTCCATTTTCC